ATAGTTCTAATTTCCCTGCCCTTCAGTGTTTATGGGGACATGTTCTTTTCTGTTTAAAAGTACTGTACTTTAAGAAATAAAATAAAAATATTGTACATGTAGGGAGTCCTTTTCACTCCAAAGCTTGACTGGCTCCTTGTTGCTCAGGTTTCCACTCAGACATCACCTTCTCACAGAGACATTTTTCGACCACCTCATCTACAATAGCCGCCCCACACCATCACTTTCCACCCCAACGCCTCCTTGTCACCTGAGCTATATTATTTTTTTGCTCGTTGATTATCTTTCTCTCCCTAGAACATTGAGTACCATGGAGGCAGAGAACTTGGCTGACTTTTCCATTGCTGCAGCCTTAGTGCCCAGCCATCTAGAAGTTTCCAGGGCCAAGACTTTGAAGCCTCTAAGGCAGTGGTTTTCAATCTTCCTAATGCTGAGACCCTTTAATACATTTCCTCATGCTGGGGTGACCCCCTACCATAAAACTATTTTCGTTGGTACTTCATAACTGCAATTTTGCTACTGTTATGAATCGTAATATAAATATCTGATATGCAGGATGGTCTTAGGCAACCCCAGTGAAAGGGTCATTTGACCCCCAAAGGGGTTGTGACCTACAGGTTAAGAACCACTGCTCTAAGGATTCCCTAGGGACAAACGCCGGTGTGTATTTCTGTGTGTGGTGTATGGCAAGGGGGTGGTGAGGTGTCTTCCCCTCCCTTTTGTACATCCCAGGGAGGTGGGAACTCCTACAGCAGCTGCTGGCCTTATTCCCTGTGGGAAATCAAGGGCAGTGGCCCTGCCAGAGCCTGCAGATGCCGGTTGCCAGGTGTGCAGGGGAGTGGGCAGTTCTTTCCCCATGGTGACCTGGGCATCTGGGGCTAAGCACAGGCCTTTCTTAGCACCTCTGATTCACAGACTACCTGCTGGCAAGGAAGAGCCGAGGCACTTTCCACCTCACTCCCCTTCCTGGGGGCTCTGGCCCACGCCTTGTATGTCTGTTGTGTTTCTTCCTGCGTCTGTACCTGCCCCTCCCCTCACTCTTGCCTTCCTGTCACCAGAGTCTGCTGGACCCCATCTCACCTGCTTTCCTTGGTGCCAAATTTGCACACTTGGAGATGGAGTGTGCTGCTCCCTCCTCTTCCTTATTTATGCTATCCCCTCAAGCTTCCTGGGGTCAGACCCCTAGCCTCAGTTTCTCCATATGTAGAATGAGTTTTGTTTAGTTTTTATGGCTTTCAAGTCTTTTTTTTTTTGAGACAAAGTTTCACTTTGTCACCCTTAGTGGGGTGCCATGGTGTCACAGCTCACAGCAACCTCAAACTCTTGGGTTCAAGCGATTCTCTTGCCTCAGCCTCTCAAATAGCTGGGCCTACAGGTGCCCACCACAACACCCAGCTATTTTTAGAAATGAGGTCTCCCTCTGGCTCAGACTGGTCTTGAACCTATGAGCTCAGGTAATCCACCCACCTCGGCCTCCCAAATGCTGGGATTACAGGCATGAGCCACCGCATATGGTTTTCAAGTCTTTAACTTTTTTCAAATAATGAATCCTCTTGTTTAAATAGTTACTCCTGTGGCAACTCTGTTCTCTGTGGTAATGGGAGAAACATGAAGGTTCTATGATCAAAATAAGGGGGAAGACCCCAAGCCCTAGTATTCATCCATAACACACGTGCACACACACAGACATGTGTGTGGAGCAGCTCCAGGGCACCACAGGGCCCATTTCACAAACCTCTGAAATCCTTTCCTGCTCAAACACTCTGGAGCCCTGACAGGCACTTATCTGTGTATGTATGCGTGTGACTTTCTGGGGTCAGACCCCCAGCCTCAGCCACTGCAGGAGCTGCTGCCAGCCCTCCCACCCTGCCACTCTGATCCTCTGCTGAGGCATATGAGAGAGATTTCAGAGGAAAGCTCCCAGAGCCTCCCACCCAGCTGTGCCTCCTCCCCACAGAGAAGAGACACTCTCACTCTCAGTCTCCAGTTGGTCTTCCCCCTGCTGCCCCCTCCATGGGGGGCTCAATGTCAAGTAAGCCTACTTGACCTCTGTCTTATCAGGTGGAGAGGGCAGTGAGGGTCTGCACAGGGCTGCAGCTCTGGACTCGGTGTTGGAAGGACTTCCTCACCCCCTCAAGGCCTGGATGGTTCACACTCACTGCTTCACCCTTACAGCTATCAGCACCTTAGGTTCTAAAGCTCCTGACTCTGCCAGTACACCAAAATATCTGAGCAGGAAAAGATTTCAGAGGTTTGTGAGCTGGGCTCTACAGTGCCCTGGAGCTGCTCTACATGTGCACGTCTGTGTGTGTGCACGTGTGTCATGGATGGATGCTGGGGCTCAGGGTCTTCCCCCTTATTTTGATAGAACTTTCAAAATTTTTTCCAGTTACCACAGACAACAGAGTTGCCACATGGGTTACTATTTAACCAAGAGGATTCATTATTTGAAAAAAGTAAGATTTGAAAACCATAAAAATGAAACAAAACTCATTTTACATATGGAGAAACTGAGTCCCAGAAGAGCAAATGGCTTCTCAAGGTCACACTGCTATAGTACCAGTGGAAGAGCTGCCTGTAGCAGGCTGCCTGGCTCATAGGCTGCTTTTCCCAGGACAGGGCCACAGTGTCCCTCTCAGGAGGTGGCAGGTGGGGGTGGGGTGCCAGGAAAGCACTGTCCAGACAAGTGGGTTAAGGTCACAGTCTCCCCCTCTTGAGGGCCCCTTGAGAATAGCTGCATTGAGAAGGTCACTCAAGTCTTAACCAGAGGCTTGAGGTTTTGGAGTGGGAAGGGGCTGATGAGGAAGAGTAGAGGAGGGAGGGGACAGAGGAAAGGGATTCACCCTCTGGGTTACTCACATCCCTACTGGGAGCAGTACCCCCTAGCACCTGATTTCAAGATGTCCCCTTCACTCAGGGAAAGAGGTGGAAGAAGCTTATGTCCAGGCATGGTGGGGCTTGGGTGGGGGAGTGTCCCAAGGTGATGAATGCTGGGGTAGGAAGACTGTGAAGAAGGGGGCCAAAATTTCTGTCTTGAGGTCCCGTGGACAGTCCCCTGGCTGTTAACAAGAGAAATGGTACAGTACGAGGCTCTGTGTCACTCTCTGTGTCCCCCCGGGGTCCAGGAGGGTACCCAGGAAATGCTACTGAATGAATTGGATTGAGTCCACCCTGCCCCAGTCCCTCCACAATCACCAGCCAATTCCCCCCCCTTCCCTCCCCCTTCCCTGTCCTTTAGAGGCTATAAGGACTGAGTTATTCTTAGTAGGTTTCATTCATCAAAGCATGACAAATGGTGTCCTGGGAGGAATGCCTGGGTGCCCTAGGGAGCTGAAGGGTGGGGTAAGGTACAAATGTCCCATCTAAGGGAAGAAGCCATTGCTTTCACGGAGTTCCAGCCTAAAGGAGAGAAAAGGGCCTGTCCTTGGGGGCCCCCAGTCTGATAGGGAGGTATAGACCCTGTCTTTAGGGAACCCCAATCTGAAGAGAACTCATCTAAATGGGAGAGCACTGTGGCTTAGGAAGCCCTGAGTTTGAAGGGAAGAGACACAGTTCCTGCCCTCAGGGAGCTCCCTGTGACAGAGGTTATTATTCCCACATCCCCCCCTTCTCTACCCTTTGGTGAGAGCCCAGTCTCAAGGGAGAGATCCAATTTCTTGTTCTCAATCTACCTCATGTTTCATGGCGGAAAAATAGCTGCCATCCCTGTTGGAGAAGATATACCCAAGGCATGAAACGCAAGATGAAAACAGAGGGTGCCAGAGGGGTAGCCAGAAACATGAAGGAACTGCTGCCACCACATATGGGGGACCTGAAGATGACAGAGAAGGGCGGTTCCCAGCGACCCTCACCTAAGCATGCTTAGCAAAGAACATGAAGGCCACATAGGTGAGCCAAACATGCACGTGGAGGGCCTAGCCCTGAGGCTCCGGGAAAAGGCGCAGGCTAAGGGGGCTGGTCTCAATGTGGGGTCTGCCTTGGCCAACTGGGAGGGCAACTGGAGAATCCACATTATCTTTAGGCTCTCACACGCAATATAAAAGCCACATACTCATTCAAGCTAAACAAAACCTCACTAAAGATTAAACTTGGCCCAAGACCATGAGTTTGCAACCCCCCCAGACATCGGAAAAGAATTTCTGACAGGGAGAGATCTGAGCATGGGTTGAGTGAAGAAGCTGATGGCCAAGTTTCCCCTTTTTGTCCTGGCCTCGGGGTCTTCAGTGCTCTTCGAACCCTTCCTGGGATGGGACACCTGAGCCACATCATTCCTCACCAGCTCCCTTGTGACCACAGGCCACAGCTGGCCAGCTGGCGGGTATTCAAGGTCTGTGACGGGGGTATCACTTTTCTTTGCAAAAAGGTTATTTCCCTTCCCGAGGAGGGAGCCTGTGGTGCTTGTCACAAAGCCACCGCTGCAGGGGCTGCGTCTGTGGCTCAAGGAATATACCAGGGGTGGCGGGTTCAAGCCCAGCCCTGGCCAAAACTGCAAAAAAAAAAAAAAACAAAACTTGGTAAAAACAAAGCCACCGCTGCCCCCATTAAATGGGCTGATCTGGAAGTTCTGGCTGGGTGGCCTTCCTGAGAGCCTTCACTCCTCCATGTGTACCCCAAGAGTAAAATGGGGTACTGTTTGTTGTCCTGCGTACCCTACCCACCCTTCCCGCTGACAGTTAACTTTCCCACAGACCTCATTGTTTCTGGCAAGGAAATAGGTTCTTGCCTCCTCTCCATGTCCCCCGTCTTTCCCAGCAGAGACCTACAAGGACTGTAGGTTGTGTGGGGGCGTAGGGGGATTGAGGAGTTGGGAGAAGAGGGGATGCCATCTCCCCAAGTCCCTCACTTTCCCTGGCCTCAGGTGAGGCCTCATAGCTCTCTCTTGGGGCTGAGGGGCAATCTTGAGGGCGGTTGGAAGCGGCAGCCAGGGGTCGTGGGGACCTGGCCGGCCGAGGAGGAGGGGTGGTGGTGTAGGGCAGGATTCAGGACCCGGGAGGGGCGGTCTAATTGTGGCGCGTTGGCCCAGCGCTGCGGAGCGCCCCGATGACAGCGGCGGTGGGTAATTAGAGCGCATTAGCCGAGCCCCTGCAATCCTGTAATTTCTCCGCGCGCTCCGGGTGTGTTGTAGGAGGTGAAGCGATGCCGGCTCGTCTGTGAGTCAGACTCTCGGAAGCCCGGGTGGGGACGCAGGGGGCGGCAGAGGCCGTGGAGAACGGACTCGCGCCGCAGGTGGCGCCGGCGCCTTCCCTCAGCGAGTCACCTGCGGCAGCCAACAGGGGCGCGCGGTGGGGAGGGGTGTGGCCTGTGTCTCTGCTGCCTCCGCCCCGCGCTCGGCCGCCCGCGAGCCCGGGGTGTGCGCGCAGCCGGGCGTCCTGCCCCTTGTGAGCAGGTGGTCTGAAAACAAGTGAGGTAAATGCAATGGTCCTCGCAGAGACTTTCCAAGTCCCAAATGTCCCAGGGAGGCAGAGAGGAGGGACAGACCTAGGACAGCAATAGAAAAAAAATCAGAGACATCAGAAGAGACTAAGAGTGGAGTGAGGCTGCTTTTCTTGCCCAGCCGCAAATCAATTCTGGGGGAATGGGGAGGAGTCAGTGGGGGGCTGGGGCTGCGAGGGGAGTTTATTTATTAGCCAGATTAGCCAGTATTAATAGGGGAGCGGTGGCGGCCGGCGGCGGCGGGGACATAGCTGGCATAGCTGGCATAGCGGCGGGGCCTCCCGCGGAGCGGGACTCTGAAGGCTTCAAAGGGGCTTAAAGAGGCCGGTGGTGGCACTGCCACGGCCCCGCGGGGGAGGGCGTGGGCGCGGGCGGCGGGGGAGAAGGGGCCATTGTGCACGGAGGGATTAGGGATCTGGCCTGGAAGGAATTTTAAACTGCTGTGAGCTGGAGCCCCCGACACTTCTCCTGCCCCACCCCTGCCTTTGGAGCATGCGGCAGTGTTTACCTGCCTTCCCAAGTCTGGGATGGAGGAGGTGCCCTTCATCCTCCTTCAAACCAGAGACATTCAGGGTTGCCAGATTTGACAAATAAAAATAAAAGACCTCCAGTTACATTGAGACTTTTTAGTGTAAGTATGTCCCAAATATGGTATGGGATATACTTATGCTAAACACCATTCGTTGTTGATCTGATGTTCTATTTACCTGGACGTCTTCTATGTTTTCTGGTAAATCTAGAGGCACCGAAATGTCTATTCCGTGTTCGGAAACAGATTAGGGACTCTCAAAAATGCAACGTGTCTCCCCCATTTTAGAGATCCCCGAGGGCACAGGTTGTGTTTCTGGGAGTTTCCTGAAGCCAGATACCAGAGTTTCATCCTTCAGAAGGGGGCTTTTAGGGGCAGTACATATCTCCTCCATCAGACTGGCAGCTTCCTGAGGATAGGGGCTAAATTTCCCTCATCTGACTAGAGCTCTGGGGTCAGGATCCTTGTCTCTTTCTTCACACTGTGGGGCTTGGAGGGTGTGTGGGTGGGTGTCTCTGAGGCATGATCTGTGTGCTTCTGGGAGGGCACAAGTCTGTTTCTGCTCCACCCCCCCACCCAGAACCCCCCATCCTGCCCCAGGCTGATGGAGGCTTCTCCCTCCAAGTGTTGCTTCCTGCCCATAGGGGGCGCTGGGGGCCCAGAGGACTGACCAACAGATAGATGGGTCCTGTTTCTTGGGATTCAAGGCTGAAGTCATCTGGGGTTGATACATCTGGGAATTTGGGGAGTGAGGTTCCCATCCTGAGAGGCTCCTGACCTGGTCCTGGCCCTTGTTCAGGCAGTCAAGGCCAGCATTTGGGAAAAGCTCTAGTTACTGAGTACCCACTGTTTCTGCCAAGAAGGGACAGCGTGGCCCTGGGTGCAGAATGTCCTGCCCACTTCCCCTCAGAATCATTGCAGCCAAGCCCCGGGCTTCCATCAGCCTCACGAAACCCCACTGCCTCTTGATTGTGCTGTTCTTTCTACCTGAGCACCCTCTTTTCCTGTCTTTGAGGACAGCTAAAGTCTCATTGCTTCTTCAGGATACTCTGCCTTTAGCAAGGTAGGCTGCTTGTGCCTGGGGCTCTTCTGGTGAAAACACCTTCCATTCACTCCCTCCTTCCTCACCAACTTTGGCTACAGAGGGGCTTAAGGTGGAGGAGGGGAGAGAAGGGAAGCTCGAAGGAGTATAGCAAAGGGGGAGCAAGAAGAGGAACCCTCTGCCACCCTCACTCCCTAAAGCCCCTTCCCATCTCCCCTCATCCCCTCTGAACTCTTTTCCATTGAAGCTGAGGGAAGCCCTGGAGAAGCCCTTTCCCACGGTCACAGCCTCAACAAACACCTACTCCTTTCTCCTTTGGCTACAGCCACCTCAGCCTCACCCTCTGCAGAGTGCAGGCCCACCCCTTCGCCGAAAGGCCCCCTCCTTGGGCCAGGACGCCTGCTTCCGCTAGTGGCATCATCACCCCACTCCTCAGGCACCAGTCATCAGGTCGGCAATTAGCTACTTCCTCTCAGCTGCATGAGGCCACTGAACGTCACAGCCCCTCCCCCAGCCGTCAGAGGCGGCAGTGCTGGGGGGTGTCCCCCACCCTTTGTAGTCAGTGCCAAGTCCTGGCTCGACCCCGCTTTCCTACAACCTACTGAGTGCTGGTGCAAAGTGCCTCCTGTCTGGGGAGCTGAAAGCTGCACTGCTGCCTCCTCCCCAAGCCCGTGTCACCACATCCCATTGGGTGAGGACACTCCTGCTGCCTGGGTGGGGTGATGCCCGCTTAAGGGCACTCGCAGTGTGGGCGGGGCTTGAGACTCAGGTGTCTCTGTCCCAGTCACAGGCAGTTTTCGTCGTGCCCTTACCTGGGGCCCGGGAATCTGAACGAAGGATGGTGGCAATTATCTGGGAAGGGAGGAGAAAAGATAATAATTCTGCAGATGTCCAAGCATGCAGGGAGGCAGGCTCTTCATGAAAACTCACATGGGCTCACACACTTGTGTCTAGGCACACTCACAGATGCAACCTGTGCAATGTACGTCCCACAGCAGCTGCACCCACGTGTCCCTGGTGAGTAAGGAAACCCACTTGAAGGTGCACCCTCTCGGCCAGACACCCCCTCTCCACGTGTGTACGCACAGACCCACCAATACAGAGTACTCAAAAAGACAATACGTTTGCTGCCACACCAAAACCATGACGAAGACCTCACAGAGGAAGCCAGGAGGATGGGAGGGAAGGAGAGACCACCCCAACGTCCTCCACCCCATGGACCAGGGAATCTTCCTGGGGAAGGATGAAGGGAAGACTGCATGGGCAGGTGAGCCATGGTGAGAGCAGCTGTGGTCTGAGTCTGGGGTGGAGGTGGAGGATGTGGATTTCTGGAGATAGTTAAAAAATTCCAACAAATGTATATAATCCACAGCAGATCACTTAACTCCCGGGAGCCTCAGTGATTGCTTCTATAAAATGGGGATAATGAGAACAACATCTGAACTTGGTTATGAAGTTTAAATGAGGTAACCCAGCTCAGAGCAGGCTGTGAGCCAACATCACCACTGGGGAAATGCTCACAATATCCTGTCACTTGGTGGTGGGTTTACCTAAGAAAGTTGCCCTGGGGAGATAAGAGGCCCTCATCCTGGGACTTACCTGACTGACCACGTGATCACCCCAGTCTTTGGGTCCAGCCCCAGCCCAGGTACACTACACAGGTTGAGAGGCATGGCAGGGCCTGGGGGTCGTGATTGGGTGCTACTCTGGACTGGCCTGGGAATGCGGTCAGGGATGCCCTACCTGGTTGCCGCGAAAAGTAGCTGAGTGCTAGGTTCTAGCCCTAAGATGGGATGAGTCAGCTAATGCTTCCCTCCCTATCCAGGGAAATTGAGTGCAAGGGACAGGACCTTGAGTGGAGGGGCTTTCTAGGAATATTCTTGGAAGGGAACCTGAAAACAGGCACTGCTGTAGGAAGCCACTGCCTGGGCCTACCAGTCTGTACCCCAGCTCAATACACACTCCGGTCCTTGTTTTTCAGGGATGAAAACAAGCTAGCCTCCAGGTTCATGAGGCAAGGCCCTGTCTGCTCACCAGGTGGGCTCCAAGCACTTTCAACCTACTGCTACTACCTTCCTTGTCACCCTTCTTAAATCTATCCAGCACGGTCTCCAAGCATGGACACAGTAACGTGCACACACACACACATACACTCATACACATGCCCACAGTCACGTAAGTACAACCAAGAACACCAGTGCAGACATATTCTCAAAAGTGCATGCACGTCACACACTCGGTACTCCCCAATGCTTATATACACTTAATGTACGCCCACACAGACACTCACACACACTGACCATCTCAAACACACAAATGCATAGTCATAATCACTGTTGTTGGTTGAACTGTTTACCCCCACCAAAGATATGTTGGAGTCATAACCCCCCGAATCAGGGAATGTGACCTCAGTTGGAAATTGGGTCTTTATAGATATAATCAAGTTAAGATCAAATTTTACTGGATGAGGGCGGGCCCCAAATCCAATGTCTGGTATCTTTATATGGAGAGAGACTTGGCGATAGAGACATAGAGACACACAGAGAAAAATGTGACAATGGAGGCAGAAATTAGAGTAATGAAGCCACAAGCCATGTAATGCCATGAATCACTAGTGGCCATCAGAAAGTAGGAGATGAGGGTGCAACAGGTTCTCCCTCAGAGCCTCCAGGAGGAGCATACCCTGCCAACATCTTGATTTCAGACTTCTGGTCTCCTTACATGTTGTTTTAAGCTACTGAGCTTATGGTAATTTGTTATGCAAGCCCTAGAAAACAAATACAGACAGTCACACACATCCACAAACACACACCCTAGCTGCCTCCAAGGCTCAGTGACGAGGTAGGTGTGGGTCCTCTTGGGGGCTGCTCAGTCTCTGTCTTCCTCCCTCTGTGACTGGCCCAGTGGATAAAATAAAGCTCACGGCCCAGAGTAGGAACTCAGTAATTTTTAATCTCTCTTTTCTCTCCTAGCATGCTTAACCACACATGCCCCTCATAATCTCATCTCAAGAATGGTTTGCCATGTTTATATGCGTAAGAAAATATATACAAGAACTCTGTGCCTGCTTTAATTATAGTAAAAACTGGAAACAACCCAGATGTCCATTATCAGTGGAATATCTGCTCAATGGAATACTGCTCAGCAACGAAAAAAGAAGACCTAGCGTCACACAAGCAATATGGATGAATATCAAAGTCACAGTGTTGCATAATATGAAGCAGACAGAAAAGAGTGCACATCTTTCTCTGATTCCATTTATGTGGGGTTCCAATCAGGTAAAGCAGATCTGTGTTGATAAAGGTCAGAACAATGGTTACATCTAGGGCATGGAATTGACTAGGAGGGGCCTGAGGGAATCTTCTGGATGCTGAAATATTCTGTGCTCACTCTAGGTGGTGGTTACATGGGTGTTTATATATGTAAAAGTTCACTGGCTCGGCGCCTGTGGCTCAAGCAGCTAAGGCGCCAGCCACATACACCTAAGGTGGCGAGTTCGAATCCCCAGCCCGGGCCCGCCAAACAACAATGATGGCTGCAACCAAAAAAAAATGGCCAGGCATTGTGGCGGGCGCCTGTAGTCCCAGCTCCTTGGGAGGCTGAGGCAGGAAACTCGCTTGAGCCCAGGAGTTGGAGGTTGCTGTGAGCGTGATGCCATGGCACTCTACCCAAGGGGATAGCTTGAGGCTCCGTCTCAAAAAAATAAAATAAAATAAAATAAAGTTCACTAAGCTGGGACTTTAAGAATTGGGCAGTTGGATGCATAACTGTGGCACCTCAATAAAAAGTAACATTTAAAAACTAGGTACTCAGGAAGTCAGTGACCAGAAGCGACTGGACAGTTTTTCTGGGGGTATTTTCAGTTTGAGTCTGCACTGTCTAGGCCAGGGAAGGGCTTACTCCCTGGGACAGATGCATGTGACCTCATCGTTCAGTGGAAGTAGGAGAGAATTCTACTCTTTAGCTGTGACTGGGCTGGCGACAAACACACGAACACTTAAACCTCTTGCCAGCTTCCCATCTTCACTCACAGTTGCAGGTTTGAGTGGGTTCACCCCCAGGCCCCATGACACCAGGCCTGACGCTGTCCAGGGTCCCCCAGGTTGACAGATAAGAGTGGCAGGGGCAGGTGGGTAGTGAGAAGGACCTTGCTTCCTCCCCCATCCTCCGTAGCCCTGGAGTGAACTGGCCTGGGGTGGGTGGCTGCAGGGCTTGCCTTGTCCCTGTGCTGCACTATTTGTTGACTATAAATGTACCGCTTGAGCTGCCTGGGAGGCCACAAGTGTCAGGGCAGCCAGACCCTCCAGATGTTGGTCTTTGGGGTCAGCGTGGGAGGTGCACGAGATCCCACTGCATTTGGCTTCCACAATTAGAGAAAAGGTTTTGATTTCTGCTGTAGGAAAACCCCAATTGAAAAAGAATAGTTTCCTTTTACTCAGCTTTTGTGATCTGACAGGAATGCCCCAGATGTCCTTGAGGTATGTGGCAGTGTTGCCATTATACAGGCAAAAAAACAGAGCCACTAAGAAGTTGAGTAAAAATGTCAAGGTCACACAGAAAACTCAAGAGAGGGCAAGTGGCATGATGATTCCATCACACCGGGGCTCTCCCTCAGACTGGCACTCCCTGAGGACAGAGCCATGTCTCCCCTCAGATCAGGGCTCCCCAAGGACAGGGCCATGTCTCCCCTCAGATCAGGGCTCCCTGAAGGCAGGGCCATGTCTCCCTTCAGACTGGGGCTCCCTTAGGACAGGACTGTTTCTTTCCTCAAACTGTGGATCCTGAGGACAGGGCTGTGTCCAACCCCAGTGTAAGCCCTATCTGTAGCAGGGACATAGAAGTGGCCTTGAACCTGTCTTTCATAGCATTCTAATTGGTCTCCCAGAGGGGCTGATGGGGGGCTGCTAACCTGGCCACCCCTGCTCTTTCTCACCCTGGCTGTCACCTCTAGGCCTAGCCTAGGGCTCTGCCCACAGGTGTCCCATAGGGTTGGGTTATGGTTCAGGGGTAGGGAGGGGAGTGGTGGGGACATGTGTACTAGAGGATGTATCTCTTTGGCAGCTATACTGAGATCAGTGAGTATCCCTGGGCCTTCCCTCCCTTCCTGACTAGGCTCCCTGGTCAGGACCACCCAGCTGAATCATGGCAGAGCCACATGGAGCAGATTTCTGGCTGGACCCTGCCTCTTCCCAGGAGAATGAGCTGGAAGAGGGGCTCCATTTCAGTATATGTGGAGGGGGCAAAGCGCAGGCTCCTTGCAATGTCCAGGACTATGTGCTCCTTGCTCTGCCCACGCCTTACCAGCAGAAGCTGGTCACGTGGATGGGGGCCAGGTGGCAGGTGTAATAGGAGATGACATCCTCTTCAGCCTGCCTTGTGACCATATTAAGTTCTGTGCCCCAGCATCTCCCCACCCCCACC